ATATATATATATATATACATACATGCAAGATCAGATATGTACAAGTTGCACTTACCAGTTCGAATTCCGTTCGTTGGAAAATACCACATTTATTCCTCGAATAATTTAAAATTTTCTTCTCTGTATTATAGATCGTTCGTATCGTTCACAACGAATTTTCGTCGATGCAATAAATATCCAATGGGACAAGATCAAAGAACATTGATTGGAAAAATTTTCCTTAGAAGATGAAAATCTAATCCACAAGTGCAATCCTTTTTTTTATCAATAATTTCAAGAGGTAAAGGTACGAGATGAAAGGATATCGATTGGAAAAATTGTCCTTAAAGAAGAAAAAAAAATATAATCGATAACGATATTTTCCTCATCGATAACTCGAGAAAAATTAAGATATATTAGCCACACGAGTGTGGAGATTACCATCCTTAAGTACATGCGTTCATTCAGGCCACCCTATACATTATACGTATACCGTTGGAAGAAACACGCCCCGAAGGGATCATCGTCTTCAGCGTCTCGCTAATGTTACAACCATCCACTTCTCTTTGCCTTCCGACGACGCAACCGTGCCTTTCCTTTTCTTTTTCTTTCTCTCTCTTTTTTTTCCTTTCCTTTTCCACTTCTTCCTCTTATTTCTTCTTATTTCTCCCTTCTTTCCTCTCTTTTTTCTTTTCCTTTTTTTTTTTTTTTTTCTTCCCCCTTCTCTTTTTTCCCATTTATTTCCACCGGCGATCGGCGCGTTTACATTGATAAAGCGACCGGCCAGGGACGTTTACCCTGGAGGGGTCAGTGTCACGTCGTAGGCCCGCAGAGTTCGTTGACTGAATAAGCCGAGGCAACCTCGAGGACCGGTTGGTCCACCCTTCGTCCCACCCTGCCCACTGACAGTGCCGGAGCTTTATCCCTTGTAGCCCTAAGTGCGCGAGATCACCTCGACTACTTAATCCTCGATCGACTGCCTCTTCCTTTTTCGCCTGACCCTCCATCTTCCTTTCCTCCTTTTCTGAGCCTGGTCCCTGTTCCGTGCACCTTCTATTTTTTTTTTTTTTTTTTTTTTTTTCCGAGTATATAGACATTCTTTATCGAGAATGTTTCAGGAGAACTATTATATTTATCAAGATATGATAATTTCTCAATTGAGTCGATCGATTGATCTTCCTTTCTCGATCGAATCTTCTTCATTGGGCCTATGTGTAAATTTTTTTCTTTCTTCATCGAGCACTTTTCGTTCGAAAAAATATATATTATTAAATGCACGAGATCATCTCGATTATTTAATCGAATTCATTTTCTTTTCTTACCTTTTTCTCGATCTCGATCGCTTGATTTTTCTTTTCGTGGAAAAAAATTTTCTTCTTCTTCGAAAATCTTGAAATATCTATAAAATTTATTCGAAAATTTTAATCGTTATTCGTTAAATGAGCGTTTTTAAAAAAAAGTAATATGGTGAAAATATAATAAGGATAATCGAGACGAATTGCTATATAATAATTTTTTATTCTAACGTTTATTCAGCTTCTTCAGAAGCTTGGAAAATGCTAGACTATTACCTATTGAAAATCACGTTGAATACAAATGACCACCGTTTATGGTTCGAGGTAATCGTGAAAATGTTTACAGAGTAAAGAGTTAAGAAATTTAGTGACCATCAATAAATATTAATGTATTTAACATAAAAATTAAAATTCATGATTACACCATAAAAGAAGATTCCAAGAGTTTTAAGCAGAAGTATATGTACTTATATATAAGTTTAGATATCCTCGTTGGTGAAAAGAAAATGTCGGATTCGAGTAATTTTGCAAGAAGAATTTAAAAGAGGAAAATGAAGAGAGATGGCACCACGATAATAGTCCGAGAAGAGGGTCCAATGGCGTTTTCGCTGTATCTCGCCACGCCGTGGAAACGTAATTTACAGTCGGACAAAGTGCAAATACGCGAGCGGGTATGCGTGCAAAGAGGCTATCGTCGTCGACCAAAGCTTTTCACCTCTGCGTGGTCGTAGAAACAACTTTGAGAGTGGCAATCTCGTGGCAGAACTCCAACTTCCTAGCTGTCTTGGTTAAATAAATAAA